CAACCTACTCACCAATGTTATCTCTTTGTTCTCATCTGGTCTGAGTCAAAATTGACGACTTCAAAGCAGCCTTCCCTAACCCCTCAACCTACACCAGCCTCTAAACCTTCTACAGTCTCTACAACACATTGTCTTCTTTTGTATTTTTCATAATGTTTCCACCTGAAATTATTTTGTCTATTCTTGTAAATGTGTTTAGTACCTCTCTTCCCACCAGTGTGTAAGCTGCATAGGGGCAGGGACCTGATCTTTCTCTGGTTGTCTCTCTGGTGTTAAGGTCAGTCGGGGAGCATGTAGAAGAGGCAAAAAAAGATATTTACCAAATGAAAGGATGCTTGAACTAGACTTCTGGCTTCCCAAATGTCCTCTTTTACCTTTTTGTTATAGTATCTTCTGTTTTCTCTGTCTAAAACGTACTGCACCCACTTATTCTCTTGGTAGCCTTAGTATCCTTTAAGATTTTATCTCTTGTATTAAAAATTCCCCGATGCCCTTGGACTGTGCCATAGACTGTGCATCTATGACCTTAGGGTGCAACTGACCCAGACCAGAATAGTGTTGTTCTCAGTGACACTACAGCCTTCTTACTCTCTGAATTGTGGTCATTTTCATATTGGTCCTCCCTGCTGGACTATCAGCTTCCTCAGGGCAAGGCCATGTTTATTCACACTTTTTACCTCCTCAACTCCCAGCACATACTTGATACGTATACTACTGTATATAGTTATTCAATACATGACTGAATAAACAAAAGAAAGTGGATGATCAAGAAAGATGATTATTTGTGATGATGTTCCCGATTTAAGCTTTAAGTAAATCATATTCTTGATTTATAAGAAGAAGGAGATTAGTGTGTGTACATTCTGTAAAAAGTATGTAGGGGAGGGATGAGAGGAAGTACAAAGAAAAGTATAATTGTTCTATACAAAACACTTCTATTTATAAAATGGATCATTTTAAATATCAAGCTGTCTTAGTTCATTTACAATCTGATGTGATTGACCACATTTCATTTCTACATGGTTTTTCAGAACCGAACT